ATGTCAAGTCCGCCGGCGACATTATGACGCTCACCGCCGCCGCTGCCACAGGTTATATTGTCGTTTTCTTATTTCTGGCTATAGGGTTGCGTCCTACAAATTTTTTTATCTTAAATTCCTTTATAACTTTTTAGAATTGAATCTAATTTCTTCTTTGAATTTGTTTTCTTCAAAAGAATTCTTCACTTCTTTTTAATTCAAGAATAAATGTTGGGAGGAAATTTAAATTTAAAATATATATATTATGTTGAGAAAAGTATATTGAATTAATTTAGGGAAAGATCGAATTTATAAGTAACCTATATTTTTTTGTGGGAGCCAAAAAAAATTATACCCAAAATTTGATAATATAAAGTTGTGATTTTTAATATATATATTAATAATACTTCGATATTATGACACTGTGGAATGGATATTGTAGCACTAAGAGGAGCAGCAACGCTGAAGTCACGGGCGACGAAGGACGTGTGGAATGCAGCGGAGAAAGGGTTGGGAGGAGCATCGTCCAGTGGCGAGGGCTCCAGCCATGGTAGCTTAATTAATAACATCATTGTAAATCAAAAGTTGAGTGTTGATCAGCTGCAACCCTGTGACTCAAAGCTTGACATAATTCAACCCGTATGCTACCGAGGATTGCTTGCCAATGGCTGCGAACTTCTTAAACGAACTCGTAACGGTAACTTTTTGTTGAAAAGTGTTGAGAGTGAGTCTCTCATTTGTTACTTAAGAAGATCATCATGAATTTAGTGAAGAATATCATACTCACAATCCCATTTCTCCATTCTTTTTCTTCCTTTTAATTAGCTTTTTCATTTGCAGGCGATCTTCATTGGAAACTCGTCTCTGTTTATCTGAGTAGAACCAATCAGGTTTTCTTTTTTTTCTCTCATTATATTCATTAAATATATATATATAAATTGTTAAAGTGAATGGGTTCCCATGATTGAACAGGTTGTGTTGAAGATGAAGAGCAGGCACGTGGCTGGAACCATAACCAAAAAGAAAAAGAGTGAGTTTTTATTTAATTATTTAATTAAATTGTCTTTCTTGGGGATTGATGAAAGGTAAAGAGCAGACGCAGAAAAGTTAGAAAAAAATGGGAACGAATCATTTTACATAATATTTAATTTAATTATATAAAATAAAATAAAACTCCGATTAACTTTATGCTTTTTTGGTTTTTGTTTACGAAATATGTTCGTACAGATTTGGTGGTGGGTGTAGTAAAAGACATTCCGGCATGGGCAGGGCGGCACCTACTGGAGGGCGGCGAGGACCGGCGGTACTTTGGGGTGAAGACATTGCTGCGAGGGGTGGTGGAATTCGAGTGCAGAAACCAAAGAGAGTATGATATGTGGACACAGGGAGTTGCCAAGCTGCTTCTAATGGCGGCTGAGAGGATTTGTAGGTTTTGAGAGATGCCGCCGCCGCCAACGCCGCCTGTTTGGTCGGTGACAAAAGTGGTGGGTTTTTTTTGAATGGGTTTAGGGTTTTAGTCAAAAAGAACCAAATTTGTTGGTTTAGTGAGTTTCACTTAGGCTTCCCCTTTAGTGAGGCGTGGATGAAGGATTCACATTTTTAATATAATACCTCCTTAAAAGTATTCAAACTTACTTTTTGAAATGTAATAAATTTTAAAAATTATCCTTACTATTAATTTCTTTTAAAAATTATTTGTTATCCAAAAAATTAAAATTGTGGGGAAAAATACACCGTAAGTAAATATTATCTCAATTAGAATTAACATTTTGAAAAGCCCAAAACAAAGTCACTCGATGTTAGGCTCATTTTGCATGGACAGGTTACCTAACAAAATTGCAAGAAAATATTTTGAGTCTTATTTAGCTCAATAAACTTTAATTAGGAGAGGGAACATTAAATCCGTTTCTCCAATATTACAACCCATAATATATCAAAATGCATCTATAAAATTTAATGAGATTTTGATAAACAAGGCGTAATTAGGACAAAATTTTAATGAGATTTTGATAAGCAAGGCACTGGTGGAACGGTAGATGTGGATTTTCCATCAGCATTTTGACAAAAAGATTTGGCTTCTTCATTAGAAGATGATGTCGTAATGTTCACTTCTTCCATAATAATATTTGTGCAACGAGCTCGAGAACAGTCCAATGTAATTGCCTTTTCATTTGCTGATGTTCCATGAACGTCACGATATGTCACATCACTCACTTTTATTTCCCTTCCCTACAAACAAACCAACATAAAAAGCAAATATAAAAATCTATGTCAAAATAAATAAATAAAATAAGAACGAGTTGAAATTGATTTGTAGTGTACCTTATTTTTCCTTCTATATGCATAAGCGGTGTAATGTTGATCAATAATGATTGGATTTTTTACATTTTCGAGTGTTATTTTCTCGAATGTGATATTTTTTGCATATCCATATCCACCCTGTAATTAGGATTAAAAAAATGTTTACTAATTTTATAAGGTATATTAAATATTATATATAAATAAATTAAAAAACGTATTATCACCTCCCAAGTCTTGATTCTAACTCCATTTTGAGTGTCTTGTAAGATGCAATCACTTACATAGACATTTTCAACAACATTATAATCACCGTCTTTTCCTAAGCTCCCAATGCTTCAGTCAAATAAACACCACAAAATATTTAAAAAAAAAAAATGAAAATTTCAATGAATATCAAACATGGAAAAAAAAAAATGTAATTTTTACCTTATGCCGTGACCAGGGCCACAAGTGAGACCTATTATATCGATATTTGAAGATCCATCATTAATTGCAACACAATCATCACCTACAATATTTAACATTGAAGTCAATAAATAAAAATATAAAATTATATACTTAATAATCACGAAGAATCATAACATTAATTTGTTACCTGTGCCTATAAAAGAATCTTGAATACGAACATTTTTTGATCCAGAAATATCAATTCCATCTGTATTAGGACTCTCATCAGGAGCAGTAATATGAATATCTGAAATAATTACATCATTGCAATTATTTATAGACATATGGTTTCTGCCACTATTAACGTGCTTCGTTTTATTTAGATGAAGACCGTTGCAATTGTGAAAAAATAATGCCTGCAAAATCATATATTATAAATTTAACTATGGGTAATAATTAAAAAAAGTAAAAAGGTTAAAAGGAAAAAAAAAAAAAAAAAAAATTACCGTTGGCCGTTTGCAGTGTTTGTGACAATCTTTGTCCCACCAAGAAGAACCTTGCCCATCAAATCGTCCATCTCCTTTAACGGTGAGAGAATCTATGTCGTAAAATTGGATCCATTTATCAACACCATCATTGGACCATTCATCCTTGCTTGGAGCCATTACAATTCCACCCAGCTATATAAAATCACAAAATAGTGTATAAATATACCATAAATTTTTCAATTTCAATTTTTTGAGAAACGGGTTTAGATAAGCTACATCAAAATTGATTCGTTCGGACTTGCAAGGACCCTGGAATTTGAGAGGGTTCAACAGGAAAGTTTTTCCAAATGGTACACGTAACGTTGGGTTGTCTTCTGTTGATGCACATGCGTCATTCCATGCTTTCAAAAAAGCCTTGACATAGAGAAAGACAAATAAAACAAGTTATTACAAGCATAAAAAGAGAATTCCTCTTTAAAAAATCGACATTCAAATTAAACTACTTACTTCTGAATCATCTTTTTTGCCATTTCCATTTGCTCCATAATCAAGAACATTGAAATATGATGAAGTTGATTCGGTCAATGAGCTTAACACAGCAGTGGAAAAGAGGAAAACAAAGGAAACAAGAAGCTTCATTTCTGAGCTAAAATGAAGAATTTGGAGAGTTAAAAGATGAAAATACGAGAGAATTGGATGGTTTAGAATGAATGGATATGGCGAGTTTATATAGACGCGAGAAATGAAAAATGTAAATTTTAATTTTAAAATAGATAGAAGAATTAAAAATTAAGGAAAATATGGAAGGAAGAATAATTGGGATTTGATTAAATTATGGGCTTGATAAAAGCAAATCTCATATATGGGTCACTTGATAAAATTCTATAAAGAAAAGAAAAGAAAATTTTAATATATATAAATTATATTTATTTTAGGTAATTTTTTTAATAAATATAAATCAAATTTATTTCAGGTGATTAATTATGGGGATATTTATTTGGAGAAATTAATAGTTTTTATATGCATATGTATGGTAAGTGACTAAGAAAGTGAGACAATTGGTCCAAATTTGAAGAATTCTAAACTTATTTTTGTATGAGATGCAACATTTTTGGTAACTTAATTATTCTTTTAAGTACAATTAGTAATCTAATTAAGAGTAATAACAATTTTAATTATTTAGTGGATACTGTTATTTGGTTTAAATCTTTGAATTTTCTTAAAATTTATTTTATTTACTAACCAACTATATTATATTTTTTATGCAACCGTTTTACTTACCTACGAAATACTATAAAGGGAGGTATTATAAAAAGACAAAAAATAAAACCCCAATACTATAACGCAATAAAATATTTGATTTAATTATTATTTTTTTATTATTATATCTGACTTTGTCTACGTCTTTTTTGGCGTTGTAATGAGCGGAAACCCAAAATTACTTTAAATTAATTTTAGATTAAAGTTTTAATTTAATTTTTAAATTCGAAAACCCAAAATCGCCACCCGTAACTGGACCCACCGGCCTGCTCTCCGGTCCGGTCCAAGCTTCCCCCAAATGGACCTGCGATATTCTGGTATTCTATTTCCAACTATACCCTTTTCTTATATTCTTTCTTTACACATTTATTTTATTAATGTAAAAAACTCTCATTTATGGAAAAGTCCATAAATATATGATATTCAAGCACAAGAACTGTATACACGATTTTTTTTTCTTTTTTTTTTTCCCTTTAATTATCGCCCAATAGAAAATAAAAAGGTGGGAAGAAAATACCAATGAATCTAGACAAGAAATATGACCCCAACGAGTCCTGGGTATTATCGTCTTTTTCGGGTGCAATGAATCGGTATATATAGGTGCTATGTTTTCGGTTCACGCGATGATCGGGATTTTTATTCTGAAGCAGAGGCCGAAGGTCGCAGTTGACGATGGCTGTTCCTGAAAAGGTAAATGTCTCTTTCTAATTCTTTGCATCGTTTCTTTCCGTGTCTTTGATCGCCAGAAATTCTTCTGTTCTTCTTTTCCGTAGAGAGTTTTGGTTTCATTTCTGCCTCACTTGGGGATGGTGTAGATTTAGGGTCAATAGGCAATCGGCTTTGCATTTATGGAAATTTTTTGGATGATTTCTTCTTGAGGTTTCGTTTTCTGTCTTGAAAATCTTGCGCGGTTTGTTCTTTTGCTAACTCCTAATATCAAGACGGTGCTGCCCTAGACTGAAACTTGCATTTACAGGATCCAAGAGAGGAAGTGATTCAGGCATGGTATATGGATTATACTGACGAAGACCAGAGGCTTCCCCATCACCTTGAGCCCAAGCAGTTTCTGTCCCTGCAACAACTGGACGGTAAGCCTTGCTGGTTGTACAGAGCTATGTGATTTTAGGTAGACTTATATCGTGTGAAATATGTTTACATTTTAGAACTTGGAGTTCTGAGCTGGAGACTAGACGCAGACATATATGAAACAGATGAGGAATTGATGAAGATACGTCGTGATCGTAATTACTCCTACATGGTTCATTTTTTCTACTTGTGTGGGGATAGCCTTTTAACTTTCTTATGATGGACAAGAACACGTTCTTATGCTTGAGAAAATTGGCTTGAAATTGATTTTGTCAGGACTTTTGTGAGGTCTGTCCAGAAAAGCTTCCTAATTATGAAGAGAAGATTAAAAGCTTTTATGAGGAACACCTTCACACCGATGAGGAGATCCGTTATTGTGTATCTGGGAGTGGTAGGATTAGTTATATTTCTGGTCTTCAATCATTCATATACGTGGCTTATAATCTTCATGTTCTTTAACGTGGGTGGATGAAGGTTATTTTGATGTTAGGGATCTGAATGACAAATGGATTCGCGTTTGGGTAAAGAAGGGAGCGATGATCGTGTTACCTGCTGGAATTTATCATCGATTTACTCTTGATTCTGGCAATTACATCAAGGTATACCAATAGAACAAGCTTCTAAGTTTTTAACCCAATTACAATGTTTCTGATGAAGCAAATTTTTATAGGCTATGCGACTCTTTGTTGGTGATCCTGTGTGGACTCCTCACAACCGTCCCAACGATCATCTTCCCGCAAGGTATTGCCATTGCTTGGTTGGTTCGGTCATGAGCTTTTCTCTTGTGCCCCCTGCCATGAATTTGTCTCTGTTACACACATCACTCTAACCTCTGTTGGTGCCTGCAGGAAGGAGTATCTGAAAAGTTTTGTGGAGAAGGAAGCTGGTAAGCAAGCCGTTGATGCTGCAGCATGAACTCTGAAAAGTTATTATCTGTATGGTTTGGTATGCATATTCGTTTTCTTGGAGATGTCTGTGGCTATTAGAAAAAATGAACGTCCAATGGTATAGTATTGTTCGCTTTGAGAATAGACTCTTATAGCTTTGTTCGCTTTGAGAATAGACTCTTATAGCTTTTCTTTTAGTTTTCTCAAGTGTCGTGATCTTCCTTTTAATTAGTAAACGTGAGACAACTCCTCCCATGGCCGCTATTCATGCTTGGCTAGAAAGGACTCCATATGCTAATGTGCACTATTACAATAAAGAATTAAAGATTAATAGTGGGGCTATGGTGTGAGCAGGTTCCACACGAGTCCTTAGCTGGTAGAAGAATAAAGAACGGAAAAAACAGAAGTATTAAGTGGTGTATTTAGTTACGCGTCATTGGCTGAGAAACAATGCCGCTTCAGGCGCCACCACGTGTCTCTCTTACCTTGACAGTCCTACACGTCCGTACACAGAACTTATTTATTTTAATTTTTAATTACCTTTTAAATTTTAAATGACATTTTATTATATTATAAGAACAAATTTGCATTAAAAAAAAAAAAAAGCTTAATTATTTATTTTAATTTTCTTTAGAAAAAATGTCTTTTGATTCTCATTATTCTTAAATAAAAAATGGTTGTTAGTTTAATTTTCATTTGATTTTTTTAATTAATTTTAACTAATGTATAGTAACGCTAGTGAAAATTGATATTAGTTAATTTAAGATTACCGGTAGAGATGAAATAACAAATAGAAATATAACATAAAATTTAAAGATTTTTGAAACTAAAATTCTAAATAAAAGTTAAGGTGAAAATGAAATGTTCTAAAAACAAAAAAAAAAAAAAATTAAATGAAAATTAGACTTTAATCTATTGGCCTAAAGATTTTTTTTTAAAACTTTTTGTATTTATCAAACAGGTTTAGTCGGCAAATCAAACTACCAGATATTTTTCTTATAATAATGTTTTTTTATATTAAAAAATACCCCACATGAAGATTCATTGGTCCACGTCTCCCTTTCTCCAGAATTGAAAATTCCAAAAAGAAAAAAAATTATGACTTTCCCAAATGAGTAAGAAATCTTTTTTAAGAGAGAGAAAAATATCTGTCACACCTTCCTTAATTAAATTCACGCCATGCTCAAAGGGGAGAGGCCTCCCCTGTTTCTATAATTAGCGCTGATTCGTTTCTCCTTTCAACACCTTCTCGAGTGAATTCAGTTTACATTTCCACCCAATTTTGTTCTTCACTTTTTCCTTCTCGAGTGAATTTCAAAACGACCCAGATCATGAATTTTGCCCGCCAGGTGAAGGAGGAGTTTCCGGCGTCGAGTTCTCCCTTTTCCGGCGGAGTTCTGCCACCCACGGCGACGGCAGCTCCTCCTCAGCCGATGGAGGGGCTTCACAAACCGGGTCCGCCGCCATTTCTGACAAAGACATATGAAATAATCGAAGACGCAGCCACCGATCATATTGTGTCTTGGAGCAGAGGCAACAATAGCTTCGTCGTTTGGGATCTTCAATCCTTTTCCTTAACCCTTCTTCCCAAATACTTCAAACACTGCAATTTCTCAAGCTTCGTTAGACAACTGAATACCTACGTAAGTCAATTTCAAATGGGTATTGTTTTAATTCAACGAAATCAAATTAGTTCTATGTTTTTTTCTAGTAGGGATTTAGAAAGGTGGATCCAGACAAGTGGGAATTCGCTCACGAAAGCTTCTTGCGAGGGCAGAGACGTCTTCTGAAGCTGATTCGAAGGAGAAAAGCTCTGCAACCGAACGTTTCTCACCAAGCTCCAGACCCATGTGTCGAGGTCGGACGATTTGGGCTCGACGGCGAGGCCAACCGGCTGCAGCGTGATAAACAGGTATTAATGGTGGAGGTAGTGAAGCTAAGACAACAGCAGCAAACCACGAAAACGTACCTCCGAACAATGGAACGTTGGCTGGAAAAAACAGAGACAAAACAACAACTAATGATGAACTTCTTGGCAAAAGCAATTCAAAACCCAGATTTCATCCAACACTTAATCCATCAAAAACACAAGCACAGAGAATTAGAGGACGCCATCAACGGGAAGCGAAGACACATCGACCAAGGACAGCTGCCCGTCCGTGAACGACAGATAGCCATTGATGATCAAATGAACCAAAAAGATGAGAGTTTAGAGAAAGATGATGATTTGGATGAGAGGTTTTGGGAGAATTTGTTGAACGAGGCTAATGAAGGTGGTTAAACAAACTCCACTCAATTTAGGACCTATCTCTAATGTGATGAATACTAACACTAATGATATAATATTGTCCACTTTTAAGTTCTATTGCTTTTAACTTTTCAAAAGGCCTCGTATCAATAGAAAGAATATTATTAGTATCAATGATATGAGAATTTCATCCTCAAACAAACATGAAGATGATAGGATGAAGTGGGATTTAGAGCTAAATTTTAAAATAATAATATATATTTTTTTAATTTTTATAATTAAATAGATATATATAAATATTCCAAAGGGCCGAACTCCATGGGCCTCCAAACGTCCCACATTAATATGGGCCTACCGACGGCCCAACTTCTCATGTTATTAACGAGTTTCCTTTCTCGTCTAATCACCATCCATCAAACCGTCAATATCCCTTCCCTCCATTTTGTCCAGATCTCATCCGTTGATTTCCCACCACTTACAAAGTTCATAAATAAGTGCAGTAGACACGCACACACGTGATTATAGCTCAATCGCAAAACCAATTTTATTAAATTTATGTATAATTCTAATTTTAGTACCTAAATAAGCTTCCAATTTTTTTCCTTTTTTATTTTATATTTAATATATAATTGACTTTTCAATATTAAACTCGAAACTGAAAATTTAAAAACTTGTCAAATAAACAGAATATTACAAATTTAGAGACTAAACTCGAAAGGAAACAAATTTAATTTATTTCTCCCCCAACTAAAATTAAAGTGATGTATTTTTGTTTGTTGACTTTTATGAATAATTGAGAGAAATCTATAAGTATAAAGTTTGTCCTTATTTGTGGGCCCCTTAACAAATTTGTGGGCCCCACGGAATCAGATTCTAAATTAATCCTGCGTAATTTAGAAAATATGTGGATAAATAAAATTAATGGGAAATTAAAGGAACCACTACGAGGGCAATTCTGGAAATGGAGTAAATTTGTATGACGTATCGACGTCGTAAAACCGATAGTACTAATTTTATTTTCTTATATGTTTCTTGTTTGTTCAGTTCTGAAAGCCTTCGATTGGAAGCTCCTCCGGTTTCTTTACCATTTCTCATTGTTCGTAACGAACGGGAAAGGATTATTGCGTTTGTTGATAACGAGTGTGATCGAGCGTCCTTGAGTTTCTTTATGTGTAATGCCGTCGGTGTGAATTTACTACGGCTTGAATTTGCCTGGTTTTGAATTTTGATCGGCATTGGCACCGTACTGAAGGAGTGAGTCGAGAATCTGAGCATCTAGGGTTTTTTATTTTGTTGCTTGGTGTTTAGATGGGGGCTGTACCTTCTACGCCGCGTCGGACCAACTCACGGCCGCAGGATACGGTGGAGTATCTAATCGGAACTTTTGTCGGAGAGGAGTCGTTTCCCATTTCCTCTGATTTCTGGCAGAAATTGATTGAGCTTCCTCTTAGCCTGCAATGGTCGACTGACTCCGTTCAACAAGCTTGCGAGCTTTTAGGTTGGTATTTTGCCTTCAATTGCTTTAAACATTTTAAGAGTAGGATTTCGCTTCCTTAAACTCTGTTGTTCTATTGGTCTGGCTCAGAGGTAAGACCGGATGCCAAATTGAATGTGATCTAGCTTCTTAATTAGTTGGATAGTTTATGTTAATGGACACGATATGTGCCGCGTAAGTTTCCATTAGGCCTTGATTAATGCGTAGGTGCCATGTTGGAGCTTTTATGTGCTATGGTTCAAACTGACAGATTCTAGTGCGCATGACATTTTTTGTTTTAGTTAAGCAAATACAGAGTTCGTGGCAATTGGCTTTGTTTAAGGGTGGGCTGCGGCACTGGACATTATTGTGAAATTATTGTGAAAGGTTTTAGCAACCTTGTGCATCTTTACATCTCTTAGGCTTTGCTGCGTTACTTGTGCAGCAACAAACAACTACAAGACGAGGCATCTTGCAAAGATTTTAATCCACATGGCATGGTGCTTGCAAGAGTGCATTACGAACTCCGGAGCATCATCCTTGACTTATGAGAAGGCAATTAACGCCGTTTATGTCTCATCCGTGTTCTTGAAGCACTTGATTGAAAATGCGAAAAGTGACAGGATTGAAGAGTTATGTCTGTCCTTAAACGATACCGAATCAGCATCAAAAGAATTCATGGGAGGTAAAGCTTGTTTAGGTGTCATACCTTCTTATTTATACACTGTAGAATGGGAGTTGATAATTTTACTAAATCGCTCTCCACATCATAAAATGTTCTCTTATATGCAAGTATGCGCTTAGAAAAGGTCACTACAATCTCATTGTTTCGGTTGATTCTGCATGTATGACGTTGGTTGAATTTGTATATCTGTTTGAGATTGTTTCTATTATTGAACTTTCATTGATTGTTTCTGTTGCTCAACCAGCACGTCTAGCTGTTTTAGCCGTATTTTCTAGTTCTCTTCGATGTACCATAGGCTTCATTCTTCCTCCTTTTATATTTTGCAGATCAAAATGTTGAAGATTTTGTAATGCACTCTGTTCTTAGCTTTATTGGTTCGGTTAATGTAAGGTAAAAGTGTTGGATTAATCCTTCCCCTCCCCTGATAGTGAAATATTTAGGATCTATTATTCTGATTGTATAGTGTTTTCTTAATAGCGACGAGAAATACCTCCTCCATGTGGAACTGCTCAACTTTATGCTGATTGCCATGTCAACTCAACTTCTCTCTGGTCCATCTCCGAGACCAAAGGATTTTAATCCGTTTGTTGATGCAGCCATGGCTCAGGTAACTGGATTTTTAACTTAGTCAAAACTTCAGAATGCCGAAGTTTGTTGTGGCTAAGTTCTCATTGTAATTTTCAGGACAGTGCCTTGGTTATTGTGGTCATGCGCAAACTACTACTCAATTTTATAAGTCGGCCGAACCTACCTTTAAATAGTTCTTATCCCATATTTTATGATGCAAATCAGTCCGGTGTCTTTCAGAGAGTCAGTTCTGTGGCAGGTACGACACTTTTTCTTCCACTTTTTTGAGTGTTTGCCAGCAGACACTAAGACGATAAGAATATCTTTAATGTCATTTTTAATGAATTTCATTCACTCGTGTCTTTGAAGCTGATTTTGTAGAGTCTACGTGCAACGCTTGGTGTAATTTCTTGTCCAATTACTGGTTTTAGTTCTCTGATTTTGTTGTGTTAAAAAAATGTCATTTCTTAAGAGGCAGCTTTTGTCATATTTCGTCTTCAAGATCTATCTTTCACTACTTTTTGGTTCTTCATTAATGACAGTGAAACTGGACATCCAGGATTGGGTTTAATTGACTCTATCACATTGCTATGTCTAGTGTTTCTCTTGTTTTTTCTTGAATTAAGTTTCTAACATCCATATGGCCATGTCATTTTGTTGTCCCAACTCTTTAGTAGACGAGTTTTTTTCTTCTTTCAGTCACAGAAAGAAACTAAGCCTCTTTATCTGGTTTGGCATGTGGTTTATTGTATTTTTAGTTGTGAATGCGATTGTTGAGTGTGGGAAACAGTTTGAAGCTCCTGTTGCTGATATAAACCTCTCGCTAACATGTTTCCCTTTCTACAGCAAATTTCGTGTTAATGCCATTCAACTACCTTGTCAGTTCAACTTCCCAAGGCTCTGAGAGTCCATTGGCTGATTGCAGTCTAAACGTTCTTCTCATTCTTATTCATTATCGCAAGTGTATTGTTAGCAATGAATCTTTAGCAAGTGGTGATAATGTTAGCTTAGATTCTCTTTTGAAAGAGAACGCAACCTTTTATGATAATCCGTATTGCAAGGCCTTAGAAAATGCATCTGATGTTGAATGTAAGATATTAAGTTTTCTTTTCTACGTTGCTATTTCCTTCTCATGGTTTAGCCAGTTTATGCACGTTTGATGCTGGTTTATTATGCTTGTGGTTGCAGTTGATCGTGTTGATTCAGATGGTAATGGACATAATGGTCCCTTTGTGCGGTTGCCATTTGCTTTGCTGTTTGATACTCTTGGAATGTATGTATTTTCTTTCTTCTTGAACAAACGTTGATAATAATGTTTAAAATCCACGTGTTATGTTTTATGCATTCAGGGCTCTAGTTGCTATACTCTATAATTGCATGATTTTAAATTTTTTAAGTATCATTTTCAAGTTCACCTCCCCCTACCCCCCAGCCTTTTTCTACCCATTATTTTGGTGAACTATATTTCAGTTTAGTGAAAAATCTTGCAGTTTCTTGTTGCTTTGAGTATTGATTAATTATATTGCCCAGATCATAGATCATTTACTGTGCTCTAGTACCTGGTTAAGTTAGAATACGTGCATACTTTGCATCTTTGCATTGATATACTATTTTTCGGCGCAAAGGCTGATGACATGAGACAAACTTTTGCTTTGAGCCCTTAATAGCATATGTATCTGCAGGTGCTTGCCTGACGAGGGCTCTGTGCTTCTGCTCTACTCATTATTGCAAGGGAATTCTGATTTCTTGGAATATGTTTTGGTGCGAACTGATTTGGACACATTGGTAAGTTGCTGGAGTGCGAATTCCAATATCTTGGGGTACATCATACATGCATATTAATCAAGTGCAACGCTTTGGCTAGTGTGATGTTTTAACTAAGATTATTCTTCGATCGATTGATGGGGATTCATTTGGATTAGTCATTTCTGTTTGTGACTTTATTCAAAATATTGATGCGGTGTTAAGATTGTATAATGACTCCATATCCACTTCATGCAGTTATGTAACGACTGTTTCAAACTTTGTCTTCTGTTTGATAATCTATAAACAGTTGATGCCAATTTTGGAGGCACTCTATAATGCTTCAACGAGGACATCTAATCAAATCTACATGCTGCTGATTATACTTTTAATTCTTAGTCAGGATTCTTCATTCAATGCAAGCATTCACAAACTGGTAAGGCCGATATACCCTCTTGCATGGTTTCTTGCTTATATGAGGTTCTCTTAATTTTTATTACTACATGTACAGATACTTCCTACGGTTCCTTGGTATAGGGAGCGTCTTCTTCATCAAACATCTCTTGGTTCTCTGGTGGTAATA